TTACACGATTGGCGACGATGCCGGCCGGCTTTATTTTCGCCGGCTACTCTGGCCGCTGTGCCAATTTGTAATTAATTGCGAAACAATCGCGTCACTATTTAAAGATTGTACATAATAATAACAGGATCACGGCACAGAGTTGGAACGCGTTGCACGTGCATACGTTCATCCGCTTACTGTTTCTAATTACGTAAAGATGTTCCCTCGGCGTTACAGGGCTTGGCTCGTTATGGCTCGCGAAAGTATCTCGACTAGTTTTGTAAAAACTTGTTCTTAAATTGAATTGAATTTTTGAAAATTTTCAATGACTGCGTTTAAAGATTACTGTTGATGTTGGAAGTTTGCGAGATTTTTACGCGCATCTGGATTTCTTTTTTTTTTTTTTTTTTACGGTGTCGAAGAAAATGAGAAGAATTGATGTTTTCATTTAAGATGTCGACATTTTACTTGCTGTTGTTCGTTTTCTTATTACTGACACGACTAATTATAGTATAAACTAGTATCGCGTACTATGAAATAGCATAAAAAGTACAGAGTATAGAAATATTACACGATACTACAGTGTCGTTTTATAGTGTGACTGCGAATGAAAAAGAATACTTTTAAAAGACCTAGACGTATTTCACATACTAAGTGTGTCCAAATGGATTTTAATTGGTGTTATATGCTGTTAATGTATTATTTTCTTAAAATTATTGAATCTCAAATTACCACGAATTTGTTCAAAACCGAAATAATCGTATGAATGTGGTCTACCGACAGTGGTCATAATAAAAATCTTTAAAATCCGAACGAAACCGTGCTTGAACTTACTCGAAATTCACTTTGAGCTCTCTCATTTCATAGTATTATTTGTGGTATTTATAATTTGTTTGCCCATGATATTCATTTTATTATTCGAAACGTTCTTGTCAACCTACTAATTTATTATTTCCTTACAATTCTTGAAACCAATATCTACTGGTATCTGGGTATATTCCAACGAAATTATACCATTTGTTCAATTCAATTCAATTTATAACATTACGCCTTGTTTTGTAATATTAGGTTAGATATCTGGTTATTTGCAGAATTCATTTGTCCACGATATTCATCTTTTATTTGGAACATTCTAAATTAAACACATTAATTTACAATTGTTGAAGCTACGCAAACTACTTTGTCAAACTAATCAGTCATCGTGCCGATATCCGCTGAAAAAGTGGTGCAAAAATCTTCGAGAGCCCAACAAAGTTGTTTCGAAACTCGGTTGGAAGCGTCTCACGTTGCACCTGTTGTACACGCTCGTCGTACGTGTCACCGCTTCAACGGAACTTCCTCCGTGTCGAGATCGTTCCTCGAGAACGTTTTCAATTCGATTTCCTTGAACGTTCCGACAGCTATGAATCACGCCCGTGAGAGATCAAGTGGAGAATCACACGGTTGGTTGCTTCGATGGGACGAAGTTGGTTTATTTCTGCATAAGTTCGGAATTTACATGGCGAGATCGTTGATTCAGGGCTGCGAGGAACATGTACGTGGCCGAAGGGACGTGATTTATCGTTGTATCGCGGGAAGGTGAACGATCGTTCGATCGCGGTAAAGAGGTGTGTCGAATGGTAATGCAGACTTGACGATGAATTAATGAACGATCAATTAATCAGGATATCAGGCTCCCAAGCTACCTTTCAACCTTCCTGCGAAATTATTTTCGGACGAATGATTTTACATGTCATTATCGATCAAATTCGTCCTTTTATTTGAATTAATTAATTAATTATTTCAGGATCTTTTTATTTCAAATTTTCGTCAAGGTCTTTTAGAATATGAAGAGTGTTTCGATACCGAAGAAATACCATACAAATGAAATTCTTACGTCGTTCTTTTGTGAAAACAGTTTTACAACATTATGCAAATCGTCCGATGCAAAAGTAGCGTAAGTCGTAAAAGTTTTAAAAATTTCTGGATACTGAACGATAAAGTAAAAGTTCAGCAGAATAATTTGACAGCAGTAATATCACATTTAAAAAAAAAAAAAAAAAGAATATTACATCTCACTTATGTGATATCACATCGTAAAGTTATATTTTGGATTATTTCTGTACAAAAATGACACGAAAATTAAAATTATTTCGGAGTGCGATATCGAACGAACAAAAAATTGACTTTTTGCGTTACGCAGTTGTGTCACACACGTGGACATGTGGTACTATAATAATAACAATAATAATAATCCCAATTTAACTCGGTTTTCAAGCCGAGTTTTCATTTATGAAAGGCAGTTTAATCAACGATCTGTTACCCAATTTACATAATATTATCATAATTTAAAGGGGAATCTCCACGCGGAGCTGAATTTAATTGTTTGTTTGATTTCATTGCCTGTTTGTTGAAATTTAATTGTTTCGCAGGGCTCCGGAAAGTCTACCCGTACTACTTCACCTTCACCACGTTCACGAAGGGCAGATGGGTAGGCGAGAAGATCCTCGAGGTGTTCGCCAGAGAATTTCGGGCACATCCGGCGGAAGAGTACGAACGTTGCATCCGCGCCGGTACTTTGACGGTCAACTATCAGAAAGTGGACGTCGATTACAGATTACGGCACAATGATCTGCTGGCCAACGTCGTTCACAGGTAAGAAACGTTCGCGTTTCCCCTCTTTCTTGCCTTTTAACTGAACACAGTGAAATTATCGGGCATGTTCTCGAAATAAGGAAATCTAACGGGATCTAACGGAATTATTTATTCGATGAAGTCACGGTTGCTTTAATTTTTTTTTTTTTTTTTTTTTTGATTTTCTACTTACTACTACTGTTATACTGTTGTAACATGTAGGAATATTATATTATTATGTTATATCGTAAGAATATTCTAGTACAAAATAGCACAGGGAACACTTTTAAAATTACAAAGAAAGACGCACAAAAGGAAGTAGAAATTTTTTTAGCCCAGAGATTAAATAAAAAAATGATTTCGGCAATGGAGAAACTCCAACTAGGATTAATTTGGCAATATAATAATTTGATTTACATACCACCGTAATGAAGAATAGTCTTCGATTCTTTTTCTGCGACAAAATTACAAACTATGGAAATATGTGATTATAATTGTAAACTATGGAAAAACAGAACGTAAGAACTGAACGTCTATGACGAAGAAAGAAGAAAAAATTAGAGAGTAAAGGAAAGCTGAAACGAAATGCAGAGTTGACCGAGGTTCGTAAGCGGATTCGTCCTCGTCAAATTTACCATCCACCTAATATTTCGCTCTCCGTACGAAACGGGGAAAGCTCGATCGGTTCAAATTCTCTGGAAAGCGTTCGAAACACGATGATTACGATAGTTACGAGTCGTTGTGTTATTTTCTTTCTGCGTTAATGAGAATCGGCGAAGAAATCGTCGCCATAACTCGCGTTCGACTCGATTCCAATCTGGTTTCGTGTCGAAAAGGAGAAATTTATTTCTTTCCATCAATGCGTGAAAAGCCTTGAATAACGTCTCTCCCGACTCGTTTCCTTCCTTTGTGAATGGCCACCGCGCCATTGGAAATACATTTTCGCTTAAAATATTTATGGAGTGACGATGCAAATCGAAAAGCACCACCGATTGCTGGCGATTTTTCAAATGCTTCTTTCAGCCGGCGGTTTATTTTGATCATCGATTGCGATGTATATTACCGAATCTCACTGTCGATGGATACTCATTGGAACAAAAGAAAAGTGAAATTAGAAAAGAAAATTAACTACGAGATAGATCGAAGAAAAATTCTATGCAGTTGATTTTCGGAAGCTTCTTTGAAGTCACTAATTTCTGAGAATTCACGTTAATAAATATTAGAGAATTTATTCTTACATTGATCATTGATTTAAATGATAAATTTCTCGAGCATTTCCCTGTGAAATACGAATATTACAATTTCAATTTCAATTCTAAACATACATACAATTACGATTTCGATACTTTGACTCTTGAATGGATGGACCTTAATGCAACTCTATAAAGTAATCGAATGATATTCTGACGTTGTCATGACGAATTTAAAGATTTATATAATGGCTCTTTATTATGTTTCGAACGATGACGATAAAAACAGAATCTTATTTTTATTTCAGAAATAAAATTCTATTTCTATACATTTGATATATATATAAGATGAAAACAAGCTCCAACTATTCAACTAAAATCGAGAGTTAAACTAGTGATATCGTAAATGAAACATCGATTTGCTTAATTTGTTCATGTTACTTCTTTTGAGATTGTAACGTATCCCAAAGTTTTGAGCGGGAATGTATGTAACGATATGCTGTTATTACTCTACAAATTTTATCTGTTTGCCACAATAAAATCGCTCAAGAAAAAAAGCGATTCTTTAATCGTTTTCTAATGGAAGAAAAAAAAAAAAAAGAAAAAGAAACGAGCACAATTTCCTGTTCGAAGTGATTTATGTTACTCGTCGTTTGAAACACGGCAATTGTACAGGACGATTCTGTAAACTGGGACGAGCTAAAGCTTTTTTCCGAGCGGAGCGGGAAAATTGAATGGCTTAACGAGCACTATTTTTCTATGCTACGAGATCTTCCTTGAATGCAACTTGCACGTTCCTTTTCTTCGTCGTCGTCGTTTTTCTATTCCCTTGCGTGATGTTACGTATCCCTTAATGAATCCCTTTTACCTTAATACCGGCTACTCTCTTGTTATTCTACACGCCACGTTCGCGAAAACGATGACGATGTATTTCGGCGAAGTTTACGAGAACAAAAGAGTAACACGTTTGTCAAAAAATCAGCAATCAGTGCACGTTGTTTTCAGCGAGTATTTAGGAAACTTTCCGAGAGATATTTTCAAGAGAAAAGCCGATTATTCTTGTCAGATTGGAGAATATACAAAGAAATAAAATATCGTACAGTCTGTTATCGTAGAGAGAAAATCGCCATTTATTTTTCAATTTTATAATAATTTAATTCTTTGACCATCAAATCAGATGTTCATTAGATAGGTCTCTTTCATTTTTTTTTTTTCTGTTTTTCTTCAATAATCACGTTTCATCCGCGAGGAAATCGGAATTCCAAATATTTGGACTTGTCAGTAATATCAATTTTCTCGTATCACGTTCATATCGATTTATTCTATCAAAAATAACAACTACTGCGAAAATACTCTGTACCAGGAGAAATGCATTTTTCATTGGTTGACTGGTACACATTCTTTCTATTTATCTTTTCAATAATTTCTTACGCGGCTCGCGTCAAATTCTGTCAATAATATTCATTTGTCAGACTATCGTCTGCCAATTCTTTCGATAATTCGCCTCAGTGTCTGCCTCAGTTTTTCGAGATGATACTCTGCGATTCGTGGAGAAACTTCAATCTTTTATTTCCATCGACAGATCCCTCTTTCGTCCGTTTTCTCTCCGACGATTCAAGAAAGAGAATCAGAAAATTGCTTCAGATTTCATTCCCATCGCGAAATCCAAAGATCTGCTGTCGGTCCCTCTAATAACCGAACGAGTCGAACGATCTTCCCAGAAGAAGATATTATGCCAACTTGGACCGAAATCGGTGGCAGATTCGCAGAGTCGTGAACGAAACGGAGGGAAGAACAAGTAGAAGAATCGACGACACGAGTGTTCTCGAGTGCGAATAACAAGAAACTATCCTGCTATCCTCGCTGTTCGAAGGAACCGCGATATCCTTGGCACGGATATAAAGGAATCTGTGTCTCGCTGTTAAACGCGTCGTCGCTCAACGAGGTTTCTATTATCAGCGCGGTTATCGTGCGCCGCGAGGCTGCGATTCTCGTAGTGTTCGAGTCTGAAGGACAATAGTGGAAAGGAAAAAGAGTCGAAAGAAAGAAGTTGCTATCGAAAAATTCCTTCTTTCGAACTGAATCCTCATTCTCTCAAAATTGTTCCTCGTTTCCTTAGTATTTGGAAAAAAAAAAAACGTCTGACGAATTTTTTTATGATACGGTTTAAAAATTTGTCAATCGAAAAACTGAATTTCTCACAAGATCGTGATTCATTTTCTTGGTATTTGAGACGACGTTTAATGAATTCTTTTCCTTTTCTATTGAATCTTTTTTTCTTCAAAATCGTGTTATTCTTTTGGCAATGAATTTTTTTTGTAATGCAATTGACAACATTTCTTTTTTCAATTGAATTTTGCAGAATTTTGTGACTCATTTTCTTGGCATCTACAAAAAGGTTTAATTGTGATGAATCTTAAAAAATTTCTTCTTCCCACTTCTTGCACTTTTTCCAAATTTTCTTCCATTTTCTTGGCTTCTTTCACTAAAAGGTCTAACGAATTTTTTCGCGACGAGTTACCATCGGAAAATTCCTTCTTCCAACCGGATGCCATTTAACATTCATCTCGAGAAAAATTCATTACATAACAGTTTCAGATGCCAAGAGAATGGATCGCAATTTTACGTATCGTTTTATGTGCCAGTTTTTAGTTGCGGAACAATCGGGATAATTCATTTATTACTTGACCTATCGATTCCTGTTAATCGATGTGTTAGGACTACCGAATTTATTTGCATAATCGAGCAATGGTATCTGCATACTCAAGCGCATTCTTGCTGTCTCGAACGAAAAGAAAATTGGATATGTTCCAGAAACGAAGAGTGGATAATACTAAGCTTACGAAATACGAATTAACATTTACTCTCTTGTATAATGATATTTAATTTTAAAACTAGTAGTACAATAATCTTTTAGATTGTTAACGACAGTGAAACAATTGAAGTTATGTGAAATTTTCGCGTAAACGCGTAATTCCTTTCTATCGAGTCGATGCAAGGAATCTCTTCTTAATATGACCAGTAACTCGTCGAGAAATTGATATTCCAGATCGACAGGATTAGCAAAAGTCATTACGAAGTCGTTATAAGATCTTTATGAAAACTAGTTCAACTTGGAAGTAGGTGATTACTGTAGTAACTTTGTAGCGATTGCGTACTCGAGCAAGAAATTTTCAATGTCTCACGTTCGACGTTCGCGAAGAATTTAGAAAATCAAAGGTTCGTGGTTTCCTTTGTCTTTAATCCATAAACGACAACCATCTTTATAATTCAAAGATCCTGTTTTGAAATGCTGTATGTATAACATATTTTTTTTCAACTTTATTTGCAACGTAAATTTCTTTTGCTTTTTGAAGATTATCAATAATTGGAATGAAAAGTTCACTACAATCTCCTCTCGTAATTTTAAATTTTGCATTTTTAAATGCCTCTTCGGACAATGTAATGTCAGTGTCATTACTGATCTCTACAGAATTCAATCTGATTTCATACATCTGATCCTTATATTTTGAAGTTTCAGAATTAGCTGTAGAATTAGTTAGTAATAATATTTAAAAAATTACAATTAAAGTATATTTTTTATACTTATGCAAATTTCTATTTTTATGGACGCGTCCGATAAGAGATTCATTCTTTCTATTAAGGCTCTTAATAAATATTGCATTTCGGATATTCTACATGATTGTGTTACATGATTTTCATCTTTAGATTTCACACAAACAAGTCAGCATCCTTAGCGTAGCTGTAATAAATCATTACAGACGTATTTTTACGCTACGATCGCCGAAAACATCCACGATAGTGTTATTTTGTATCTTCATCTCGCATTTTCAAATCCTCGCTCATAATGAAAAGTATATTTTCATTTCATTTTCTCTTTCACTACATCTCGAATACGTCGAAACTGAATACGTCTTAGAAATGGATGATACGTCTATATTTCATCGAAGTAAATTCGCAATTCTATTTGTCTGAGCGTCTCACGTCATTTCTGTACATCGTTCAACTCGTGTGGAACCCATTTGTCCAATTTCTTTGCTTCTGCTATTCGAGTCAAGGCGATGAATAATGCCAGAATGGTTCGTCTCCATTGCGAGCGATATTTTTCTTGCTGTTTCTCATGGATTGGTCTCCAGTTAGAGATCTGTTAAACACACTATCGTCGATGAAATTCCTTAGCCTTTCCTTCAATACATTTTCCTATCTACGTTCCATTGTTCTAATATTTGCGTTGAACCCTCCCTCAAGTATTAAATTACGTTACCGAACATTCTGATCGTTTCCCAAATGACGAAATTTCAACATTTCTTCGATTCTTATTCTATTGATATTTAACGCGCGTTGTATTAAAAAGAAAATTTTAAACGTTTAAAAGTTACTAAAAGGACCACTCAACTTAGTGAATGATCATTCGCTTCTCGAGTGATTTATCAAACATTAGAACTTTCTTTCTTACGCTGTTATTTAGAACATCAGAATCATTTTTTTTTTAACTGTTGTTGATTTAACGTTACAACAAAATGATGATGTTATTGTAGCGTCATGTGATTTTAATTAATTGTCAAAAAAGCTCGTTTCGAGTATAACTAAGGAAACTAATTAAAACTCTTTGCATCGAGGAAAAATTTCTAGTTGCGGAACAATTTCATTAACATTGCAGCGATCACCGGTGATGTAATGATGTAGGATCGTGTGACTTTCACCGCTGGTGATCCATGGCATTACGTTGGAATCGAAAGCTGATAATTTAGATTTAGATACATTTTATAAATTCTTAATAGCGTTAATTTCTTTATATCAATACTATTAACCTCTTGATAGAATTAATGAAAAAAAAAAGAAGCTGTTTCTCAAAACATTGATCGCGTGTACTCGCGTGTACTATTCACAAGAAGAGAAACAAATCATATTCTACATAAACAGATACCACCAAATAATCTCAAGAGCCAGAGTACATTATTATTCGATAAAAATTAGAAATAAATCGGATTATTCGAGTCAATTCCCTCCCTGCTTTCCTGGCTACTCTACGTGATTCTCAGCTCGTCTCGCTCTCGATCTCGCAGATCGTTTTGGACGTGTCGCGCCTCGTTCGCAATCCGGTCGCTCTCTTAACGTGTGGAAACTCGGCTAATTAACTCGTTTATCGAATAAAAAAGGAAGCAAAAAAGAAGAAAAAAGTTCGTCCGAAGATCGTCTTCGGTTGTTCCGTCGTCTTCCATCGAGCATGTTGACCTTCGTCTTTTTATTAATTGCATGGAAACGGCGTGACATTGAATTGTGATATTTCATCGATGATATTACGCGGATAGTGTTTCCTCGCGTCATGCGGTAATAACATTCAGGCCAACGCGGCGCGAGGAACGAACGCGTTCGTCACCGCCTCGCGTGCGCGCAACGTCTGCCATTTTAAATCGCGCGTTACGCCCGCGGCGTAGAAATCGCGCTCGGTGATCGCGACCGGTTCTCGCAGATTGCACAAAAGCCACCTCGATCAACAGAAAAGCCGTACCTCGCGGGTGAAGGTCTCGCGGGAGGATAGATGATTCGGGTCAGCCTCTTACTCGTCGCCGACAATAAAACGCGGATACTCTGACGTCACGCCGACGACGATAGAGAGATATGCTTTTCCAACGATAACCGCTATTAATTGCCGCGGCATTCTTCAATTAATTGGCCGACCGTCCCCCGTTGCTTCGTGGAAAATCCTTTGGAAGAACTCTCCGTTTCTTCTATTCACAGACGTGTATTGTACTTTACGCTACTTTTTATGTTTCAAAAAAAAAAAAAAAAAA